ACACAGGCTTTTAAAATGCCAAGCAGAATGAAAGAGGTATGAGACAATCGGAGATGCCCTTTAATGTCTAATGACTTAAGTTTTTTAAAATAAATCACCAGTAGTCTTCAAAAAATCAACCCAAATTTGTTTTTTTTTCCCTAGATAACAGTTGGAAGTTAGATTTTCTGCAGCATTTTCCATTTGACACTTTTTTGATTAGCTGATGTGGCTACATGCTGTCCTATATACGTCGTTCATAAAAGACAAATTTATTATGATTCTGAACACTGCATAATGTGCTGAGAAATGTTGCAAAGTTCAGATGTCCTATATCACAACAGGAACGCCTGTATTTCTGCACTGACTCAGGGTTCCAGGTCTCTCCTTTTACCGGTCTGTCTTCTGGGAATACACACCACGTCACCCACAGGACAGTTATGGACCCAAGCTGTCAAATGATGTTCCTGACAATGTTGAATTTAACACATTGATTAGGAAGCATTCCACAAAAATAGCTCTCCTGTTTCTGGTTAGTTAAGATAGCAGAAGTCCTGGTGTAGTTATTTTCTGGAAACAAATTATGTTGAAAGGAATCTACATTTAACTAAAACCAAGATTGTAAATACAGGATGCTTACCGCTTACTCATGACGCATAACAACAGCATGGGACTAGATAGTACTAACAGTACGAGATAAGTTCAAGACTTTAACTTATGAATAAATGGACTTATTAATTCACAGTTTTTACCTGCTATGATGTACAAATATAAAAACAAAAGCATAGGAGATTTGGATGCTTTGGAAGCCCGAAGCATGATGGCTGGACCGCTGTGAAATGTGAGAGTAAAAACACTGTAGTACAGTACACGACCATCTAAAAGCCACAACAGAGTCACAATAACCAGCATGAAGTCAGGTGACACTGATGTCATTTTTGGGCATACAATTCACACAGTGCCGCAGACCACAAGAGCAAACTGAGGAAAGTAAAAAAAGAAAAAAAAAGAGGTGAACATGATTTGTTTCTTGCTGGTGAGGTCAGAAACACGCAGAGAAATGTTTAAGAGGCCAAGGCTTTCCCAGAATTCCCTGTATTGCCCTAGTCCACTTAGCTAGTTGCAAAATGAATGTGGCCTGCTGAACACAGTCAAGAGGCTGTATTTCCAGAGCGCACTGCAAAAGACAATGTTTTGTTCAACAGAAAACAGGCTCATATTCTGTTGTTAAAAGAAATAATATTTTAAAAATGTCAAGAATTTGGGAATGCAGACACATGGATGAAATTTCAATTTTGTGGAGGTTTTGCCAATGAAAATGAAGGGAGACTGATGAGATTTCCTGTTGTATTGGATGTCCGGAATGTGTCGACTCCCCCCTTGTTTTCGTTGGAGCATGCAAGTCTTGTAGCTAATTAATTTTCTCATTCCTCGAATGCCGCCGAACAGGAATCGCTGGCCAGGTGTCCATAGATGCCAATGGAGACAGAAGCGGAGATTTCTCTGTGATGGCCATGACAGACCATGAGGCAGGCACCTTTGAGGTATATCATATATCCTTTATATGTTCTCTGCCATAAAAAATGTGTTCTGCATGTATCATACAAATACATTACACTGATCTGTTCAGTTAGTTCAGTGAATGCCCAGCTATGGGCTGAAGACATTAAGAAATTAAACAAATGGGTCGTACTACTTTTGTAAGATCAAGGGGTGAGTATTTGGATTTAGCTGCCTGTTGTGCTGTCATTTCAGGTGGTTATGAACTACTTTGGTATCAACGGCAGTATTCAGGTGCTGCCAGGGTTCAGCAGAGAACGCTTCACCTTGAAGGACAGACACCGAAACCCTTTCCCGGAGCACCCCAACAAATCATGTAAACCTTCCCTACTGTCCCTCCCCCTGGTTCATGTGAAATAAGCTGATCCACTTGTAGGTTCCCCGGCCTACTCTCCTTCACGGGTAACCAACATGTTCAACTGCTGGCCTTGGCAGCAGAAAAAAATCCACTCTTGGCTCTTTGAAAATGCTTTCATTGTATCCAAGGTTCACATGGGAGGTTGTGGTAGTGCATAATTTCTTAAATAACGATTTTAAAGAGGTTGGTGTAAAAAAAAATGTTAACAGTACCACAATCGGAGTGATTCTTCCAAAGAGCCCTCAGTCTACAGTGCAGTGGTGTCTCCATCAAGGACGGGTGTTACTTTCTCCTAACTAATAACCCTCTTTTCCTTCCCAAGCAGGTGGACTAGGGGTATCTGCAGTGACAGGGATCATTGTTGGAGCACTTCTGGGCACAGCAATGCTAATATCATTTTACTTTTTCAGGTTAGTTGCCATTTAAACATTCTTTCAGAACCCTCTTGTTATGGTAATCAGAAAGTTCTTCTGCTGGATTCAAGCTGAGGCTTACGTTAGCTTATCTCTAAGCTTTATTCCGCTCTCAGATGCTCTTTCTTATTTATGACCGAGGATCTCAGAGCGAAATAACAGCCTAAAATAACACTTCACGTAGGCCCAATTTTATTTTCTATACCTCATTTTTACCAACTAAAAAAATTACTTGGGCCCAAACTGTCATTTATAGCAAAGTTAATATCCAGGTAGAGGTAGTGTGACCAGATAATGAATCAATAAAATCAATAAAAGAGCAGCTTAAAGATTTGAATACTGACATAGGTTCCAGGCCCATTATGAACTGGGTAAATGGTTATGGACAGATATTGGCTAAGACAAAATTCTGCACGTGCAGCAAGCTGTTTCCGGGACAGGAAAGCTAGGGTGCCACAACGAGAGGTCAAAGGTCACCATGAATAGGGTGCCACACCTTCTTAAACTGACTGCAGTCCTATGGTCTTCACTTTAATTTATTGGCATATAAGAACTAGTTATGTTTTTTGGACCTACAGCTTTATTAACACAAAACCTTCTGTGATTATTAAAACATGAGGTTGTCTTGAATATTATTGTGGTTATTATTGTGAAATGCTCAGGGCTCTGCGCCCTTTAATATTTATAAAATAATATACTTATATTTAATTTTAATTTAGTATAGGCCTACCTGTTTTTTCTAAGAAAAATGTAATGCTTGTGAAAGGCTTTGAAGGTTTCAAAATTTAAATATGGACTTTCTGAAATATATGGCTCAGTGCTGAAATGTATGGCTCAGCTTAAGCTTTTATGTATGTCTGTAATAATTGTTCATTTCAGTAGTACTGTTCTGCTGCTTTGGCTTAAGATATGCATAGTCACAGGAAATAATTTTGAAGATGGTAGTTCATTAATTGTAATTCCATCAGGTATTTCCTCAGAGGCAGATTCCAAGTGTTAATAAATAAAACACTAAGTAATGTTTGGAATAAAATTGTTAGGATTTTCTCTACATGAAAGCGAGACCACTGGAGACATGTAAAGCTCAGGTCTGGGTCACAGCCAGGGAACTGTACAACCGTTATGAGTTTCCGTTCCATGGGTGAGTTCCTTTAACCTTCTTGGTTTTGGCAGACGGTCCCCTTTTCCTACCATCTAATAAGTCTGGTGTCTTGTCATCGGAACGCCTGAGAGAAAATGAAGAGAAGCAGAGGAAACAGTCTGTGTTATTAATGGCGTGTGTTTCCCCAGTGACACCTGTTGTAAGATGATAATAACTGGAATTCTTTGGAATTCTCTCACACACACTTTCTCCGGTGTTTTTCCACAGAAAGAATTACAGGATAACTATTGAGCGGCGGACCCAGCGTGAGGACTGCAACATTGGGAAGCACCGTCAATTGCGAGAAGACTCCATCAGGTCCAACTTCTCTGCGGCATAGAGCTCCCCGCGCTGCAGGGGGCCCCCCTGCCAGGGACCTGCCACGGAATGTGACCAAAGACTCTCCAAGCCGGTCGAAGGGACTCCTCTTATTTAAAAACATACTGTAGTGTTGTTATTATTTTTTTTTTTAACCTCTATTCGTTTGACTTTCATAAACTCAGGAAAGTTGTACCATTTGCGTGGTGCTGCTTTGCAAGGCATTACGCTTGTTTAGAGAACAAGAGGAGGATGCATTCGAATTCTGTAGGGGCTTTATTTCTCCATGATCAGAAGGCCAGTATCTACATTAAGGTCAGGAGTGGGCTAATGCTAATTACAAAGAAACACACACACACAATGTCTGGAAAAGGCATCAACCCTCTCAGAGTAACATTGCTAAATAAATGTATTTCACACCTATTGGGTTAAAGTGAATAACTGGAACATCCCTCATTCTACCAAAGGCTTATTTTATCCAGGTCATTCGCACACTTTTATAAATACTAGAACGTCTACATGGTGGAGGAATTTTGACAAAGGAATGTACGTCTTTCTGTGAGTCATGGTGGAATTTTAACACAGCAGTGAAGTGCTGTACACAGCATTCTGGCATGCGGCCCATGTGTGTATCCACTGTCTGCATGCCGTTATGCCGCAGCGAAGGCATCCTGTACTGATAATTGGAGTCTCGGGGCAAATGGTGTAATTGTGATTGTAATTCCTAAATTACCTAGAAATGCAAGAACTGAATAGGAGCTGGGCGTCCCAAGATTGGGTTGTGTAATTAGTATTTGAAGGGAAATGGCACATAATTTAAGCATGTCAGAGTTAAAATATAGTTTTATTTATCTCAGGCATGCTTTTTAAATCTTCAAACAAGATTTGAATTTTTTTTCCAGATAAAATGCTCAATAAAATGACTGTTGTGGCCCTAATACATTTTTAGTGGAAACCTTATTTTTCACCTGGTTTTTGTATTAAAAGAGAAGAATAGTTGAATATTTTGTATGTTGAAACTTATTTTCTTGTCCTACATAGCATCTGGTAAAGCTTTTCTTTTAAAAAAAAAAAAAAATCAAAATTCACCTTGTTCTTCATTGGAAGTTTGGAGTTGCTCACCAAACAAGGAAACGATTTATGAAATCATGAACGGTTTATGAAATCAAAATCCAGTATTTATATTATTTGAAGTAAATGCGTGACAAACTGTATGATACATACTAGTATGTTGTACCTCCAGCTTTTTCTTCTCGTTTGTCTTAAAAAGCAGTAAAATGTCAATTAGATGTAATCATTTAATGCAGAAGGCGATGACTTATGGAAGTTGCGTGTTAAATATTGTCTCTTTGCTATCTTTCTTCAAGTTGAGTTAGCACGGTCTTTTTCATTTCCGTTTCATAGTCATGGCAGAGTACGTGGCTTATTTGACGGCGGCTAGAAAGTCTGGAAACGGAACTGAAGCTTTATAGAGACTTTATGACCATTAAAGATATAACATTAAAGAGCGACAGCTGCTCACACCAGAGCGGTGAGTTTGTAAGGCACGGCGCTCATGACGCTAACTTTGATGTCTCCACTTAGTGGGACACCAGTGAATTCCTCTCCTCGCTCATTGAGTTCCAAGATCCGGTGTTTTTGGCCCTCATCGTACAAGGCGTGAAATGAAAGGGTGCGCGCGTCCCTCCTCTGGCAGGAGAATAGACGGAAACACAGCCAGTCGTTTCGAGAGGAGACGTATATCGGATGATATTGATGTAACAATAACGCCCATTATTTCAGCTTCCTGACTGTTTCCACTTTCCCCACAGAGTCAATTTTGACCGTCTACAAAGGGACATTTTTTGTTATATGCCAGAGCAAATTAGGAGGGCTAGATTTTTGGCTGATTTATTTTATGTTTCAGAAGACTTTCTTTTTTTATGGGGGGGGGGTGTAGTGTCAGTTGGAAAAATAATAACATGAAAAATTTTACCTGCCAAAAATGAGCTGGCAAGATTGAAGTTGGGCTGAACACAGAGAAGCAGTCATTGCATGTCTTACATAAGGTAAATACATTTTCCGAAGCTTTTTAATATGGAATATCCTAGCATTTCGGTATCCAGAGCCTAGACTTTCAAATGACACAACGTTGAGTGAAATTTCAGTAACATTATCATTCTAAATCTGTTTAGTGAAAGCCTGGCTCTTTATAAACAAAACAGGCATTTATCCCAGTGCGGGCCTGATTCTTCTGAGAATTAACATGATTTAATCTGACATGGTTAAGGTCACCCTTTAGAACTCACTTCAGTTTTGTAGTGTTACTAAGTACTTGGAACAAATTGTCTTTCTTCTGCGATTCATCTGTTCTTTATCCAAAAAACACAGTCTTATTTTCAAATGAAAATCTGGAATCACACAGAAGGATTTAATGTGCACATTTTCCTTTTCAATTTCACCTGTTCCTGTTTATTTTGTCCTTTGTCTGTGTAAGTACCGTAATTCAGCACTTTATTCTTAAACAGGGAAATGTGTAATGCCTGTCATTTGGAGTGCAGTTATTTCCGTTTTTCTATCCATACTGTTGTTGCTATTTGCATTTTCAATATTTTCAGAGCGCTAAAAAAATATTGGTTATTTCTTGCAAGCATTTTCTGGTAATCTCTGCAACCCTGAACAGGTTAAGTGGTTAGAATGTGGATGGATATATTAATTTTACGATACTGACACACAGCACAGGTTGTTAACCTACACATTCTAGCTCCAAAATGTTAAAAATGAAAAGCAGGAACCATGAAAGAGAGCTATATAGTGCCTAAAATTTAAAAATGTATTTTGTCAGAAAATATTTAATGAAATATATTAGCATATTAACATCTGAAAATATGTAACAGTTAACAATATAAATTAATGTGTGTTAAGTTATGAAGTATATAGTGAATTTGCATTACATTTATACAGAAGTATATTTCAGTCTTGCCTTCGCAATAGTAACAAATACTGTCTTTGTTTTAATTAGCTAGTCTTAGTGTCATAAATGTCTCACTTCTACAAATTGCCCACAAACCAAAATATTTTACTTTTCCATGTGGGGTTCCATAAAACTACATTACCCAGACCCCCTCAGAAAAAAATCTATAGATGAGATATAACACTCATGTCATTAATCTGTTAATACAACTTGGGCACTGTTGCTGGACAGTGGATTAAACATTCGCAGTGACAGCATTTGGTGTCTTAATACATGTTGTTTGAGTGCTAGACATGTGTTGAAACGAGGATGGACAGGATGTCGCTGGAACCGAGAGGATATGCTTGTGTCTGAGCTTGGGCTCTCCCCCCGTTGTGTTCTTGAGAGATTGGCCACTCCCCTCTGTAGATATTTACTTTCTGTATAGATTCACACAGACACTTTACTTTAACCAATCGGGTTAAAGCGTATGCTTTTAAACCATATTCATAATAAGATGAAAACTGAATGGGGTGTGTGTATGTGTGTGTGTGTCTCTGATTAGAATCCTGTTAACTTTAACTTCCGTTTCTTATGTATGAGTGTGTTACACTGCCATAAACTAAGCAGAAGACATTAAATGTTATTGAGAACCTTTGTTTCGGCATTCAGTAAATAACTCCTTCCAGGTATTTTTGCTGTGCTAAATAAGCTTAGTGGTGTTTTATAAGCTTTCGAAAGTGGGGCTTTGAAAAATCAGTATGTGTTTTTTTTTTCAGAACCCAAGGCTCACGAGATTCATAAACACATGAATGTTGGCACTCTGAATTATTCTGAATGTACATCCTGTACATTAACTTTGTTCGCATACCTCTAAAAAATGTGAAACATCACGTGTTTAAAACAAATTCAGACTGTATAATATGTATACATTGAAATATTTGGGGGTGTCTTTCAAGCTGTGGGTCAGGGCTTCAGATATGTGTTGATTTAAAACAAAAGAAGCAGTCATTCCTTAATGTTAAGGAAAAGGTGTTGGCAGAGGTATGAAGAGGATTCACATACTGCTCAACCTAACGGTGAAATGTTTTGATGTAAGTAAAAATATCTGCATATAATGTGATATTTATTGAAGCCTTATTTTGTAGAAATTTTATATTCCTGCCTGTAGATTTAACCCTTTGGTTCGCTCTTGTATATATTTTACTCTGTTTTGAGAAGTTATTTCTAAATATTTGCCTTTTCAGCCATCTGACACGTCTACATTGCTCTGTAAACATTCCTTGTAGAAATATTTAGCTATTTCAATCACCAACGTATATTGACGAATAAAAATGTAAAATTTGACCTTTCCCTTTTGGTTTCTCATTCTGTGGTAAGGATTTTGTGGTGAAATAACAAAACACACCTTTGTTTCATGGTATATCTTCTTATATACTTTCTGTTTGACACTTTGTATAGCAACATGTCTTCCTTTGTATGCAACATATGTTTTCTATTATAGTGTGTATGGGATGGATGGAAATAGTATGTATGGGATGCATGGGAATAATATATATATGGAATGGATGGAAATAGTATGTAGGGATATATGAGAATAGTATATTGTCACGCCCCGCTCCGTCCGCTCACGATGTGTGCCACGCCCACCTCGTTACCTCGTGTGATTCCCTGATTGTCTCTTACCTGTGATTCGTTACCCTTAGCCTGTGTCTTGTATTTAGTCCGTGTCTAAGTCAGTGTACCCCAGATCTGTCATTGTATTGTCACGTGTAGTGTCCGTACCTGTCAGTCTGCGTGCAATAAACCCCGTTACCCTGACTTCCTGGCTGCTTTCGCCTGCTTCCCTGCTCGCCTTAAGCCCGAACGTGACATATATATTGTTTTATGTTTATTATGTGCTTCTGTGAGGTGTCCTTGAGTGTCATGAAAGGCGCCATTAAATAAAATGTATTATTATTATTATTATTATTATTATTATATGGGATGTATTGGAATAGTATGTATGGGAATCAATCTATAAGAGCAGTATAAATAATGGAATGAAGGCAGTTAACACTGGTTGTGTAGCAATAAAGATTATGATCCTGAATGAAATTTTGAGCTGTACAGACATAACGATTGTACTGCTTATATCCGCTATTATTCTAAGCCTCTGCTCACACAACAGGGATGGACATTAATCATTTCAAGGAGCAGTCGAACACTGGACATACTTAGAATATTCTGGCAATTTGTCCTGCAGTCACCCAATCAAAATGCCGCACATGTTCTATCCTTCATGGATACTACACTGCAAAGTGTGGCGTTCCATGGAGATTACACCCAGCCTCGTATTTTTTACATTTATTACATTGTGGGAACCAGATTCCCACAAAATGTAATAAAACACCTTTTTATCTTGTGGGGACATGTTTTTGGTTCTCATAGGAATATCCTCAATTTTAGAAAAAAAAAATCAATGCATGCAATCAAAAAACTAAAAATGTCAAAAGGCTTGCATTTTGCTTGGTTACTTATAGTTAAGGTTAGGGCTGGGTAGGGGTTAAGGCTGTCATTGTAGGGATTAGGGATTTGCCCATAGAAATGAATGGACGGTTGTGCTGAACTCCTCATGCTGAATAGACTTCATTGGCCCCGCTTTGGATAGACTATACATTTTTCAGCTTTCCTTTGACTTTGAATTTTTGAAATGTTCCACACACACAATACAGAATCTGAGGATTCTTTTCTTTTTTCATTCTCATAAATTCCTTTGGTAGTAGTAGATCCTTTATAGATTTCTCTTGATTCTTGCCCAGCCCTTTCTTTGGCAAGCTTGTCTTTCGTTTCACCTCGTCAGATCATCGACTGTGCTCTTCTTCTGGGGACTCATGGGAGTTTTACTTAGGAAAATATTCTGGGGGCACAATGAAAAATGATTGGTTCAGAGAGATAACCAATCAGATTGTACATGAGGTGGGTCTAAGCAACTAGAAGAGGTGGGATCAGCCAATCAGATGTCTTCGTCCCACCTCCTGTAGTTTCTTGGATCCACCTTGGTTATCTCTCTGAACCAATCATTATTCATTCTGCCCTCAGAACAATTTTGTGTAAGTAAAACTCCCATGAGCCTTCCGGGGTCATTTTGATGGGAGTATCAGTAATTACTGCTGTTTGTTTCTTCTTCCTGCCTCTCACAGTATGTTTTTTTGGTCCAGCTTTTATCATGGTACCTCAAATGGGCTAAAGATGAGACTTGGTGTTTCCTGGGCTTGAGAAGTGGCCTGGTGGTCAGCTAGACCAAAATGATCTGTACATTTCAAGGCTCAAAGTTCGATTCTTCAAATATGCCTGGATTGTGAGGCCAAATTGCACTGCACTGGAAACCAGCCTGCAAATCCCTTGGTGTTATAGCAGATGGACGTGCTAAGTGCGATCTTCACAATCCCTGGAATATTATAAATTGTCATCGTCTTTCCTGGGTTCATTTGCACCTAGGAATCACATGCCGTGTTCACCGTCTTCTTGAGGGGACCACAAACACTTTTGTCAGGGGGTTGAAGCTTCTGCCTCCAAAGTGGGGGAAGTGTTAACATCACAAATTCATTGGTCTTGCAGGATTCAATGGCTGATGATTATCCAGAAGAAGTAGCACTTTCTTCTCAGGGCAGACTTTGGTGTGGTTTGCGAAGTGCTTCAAGAAGATGATGAAATCTGCCTCTTGCATCCACACTGAATCACTCCCACTTCCAACACTTCCTACTGGCCCATTACATACAAAGTGGTGTTTGTAATGTTTGTGTGGGAACACAAACATTGGGGCAATTGAATTCCCAATGGGATTGACAACACATGCAATGGAGACCAATGAACCCCTTTCAGATGTCAAAGCCTCAGCTTGTTTTGTTCCATGTTTGGCCATTACTGTGTCTGGAGTTTGTACCATGGTTAAGCTGGTTTTGTTCACATTCCATATGCAATTTCCTGTAAAGTTCTCCCTTTGTCAAGCTGTGAGAGCAACATTTCAATGTTGTGTTTGTTGAAACTGGTAGCCCAGGCCAGGCTTGTGGGCTTGGGACTTCTAATGGATGGATTGGGATGGCGATTCCTGTAGGCAGAGAAGCAGTCTGCCCCATCCTTTGAGGATTCATCCCATCACCTTGGATATTTGTACTCATATTCGACAGTAAATTAGTGTGCAAACTGTATCACCTATAATGTTAATCACATGAAAATGCTTTAGATTTTCTTATTTTATATTTCATGTTGTCAACAAAAGACCTATGAAATGCTATATTTGCCCCAACTTCTTATTCCTGTTTTCTTTCCTCAGTTGGAGATTAACCATAGTATGTATCAGCTGGCTTAAGTAAGTATTCAACCAATATGTCTTGTTCACCTGTAAATACTCTGTTTACACTCTTGTGCCCCACAAGTGTAAGTTCCTTTGATTTAGTCTCTTCTAATTTCTTGCTTTCTTTATAGAATCTGCATAGCGTGATGTGGCATATAGCATACAATACTGTTACAAAATCTGATGGGTTTTTTGACATAATATGAGGCTCTTTTCAAAACATCAAGAGGCACTTCCCTGTTAGCCTTCCAAGACCTATAGGCAAGCCGAATTTCAAAGAAATAAAGGAAGTGAAAATATTTTAAAAAAAGCAAAAATAAAATTCTGCCTGGGGTAGGTTGTAACATTTTTTCAAATACCGTTATAACTATCCCAGACTGTGGTGGCCATGAACAAGTTTACCTTGCAGCTAAGAGCAACACTATTAGCGCTCACACATAATAAAAATGATTTAAGTTTGAACACTGTAAGTACCAAGCAGGCACTGCTATCACAAAAATAAATAAAGTCAAAAAATTAATTTCCTTCCTCAGATTTCATTTCTTTCCTTACAAATCTGAGTATGTTTGTTACAGAGTGATCCTCCTTCACGTGTGAAATAAAGACTAAACTGAGCATGTGCAGAGTGAGTTATGTGATTTGTACCTCATTCCTGACTGGAGAAATAAACTTTGTTACAACTATGTAACAACCATGTACGCATGATCCCTGCTCTTCCCGGTATGTATAAGTCACATATCTCTAGGCTTGTAGCCAGGATCCCCTAAACACAATTTTCCACAATGTGTTCCTTCCATATTGACCAACTACCTGCATGATTCATGCATTAGTTTCTCAGTAGATATCCCTCTGTCTTCCTAAGTTTGTTCCTGAGCTCATTAAAGAATGAGAGTCAACTTTGATACAGTACAGGCGATGGTCCCATTGAACCCATTCCATAAATTCCAGGTCTGGGTCTCTGATCTGCTAGCCTCCCAAGGACTTTCAGTTGACCACAGGATGAACCTGCCTCCCTCACTCCTTATCCCATCAAGCATATAATTATATATTTGTAGCACAAGCATTGATATATAGTGGTATAATAACTGCTGGTTACATCTAGCAACTTTAAGCAGATACGATTTTCCTTTCCGCAGTCCTGAGGTTCGGTCACCTCTGATCTTGCCAGTTAGAGTGTAGTTCTCGTAGTGCTACAGTGCTCATTTGCATATTAATTCAGGCAGGATTTCTGTTATCAATCAGACCAAAGTGCAGTGTTGCTGCTCCTTAACAGTCCTTATGTGTGAGTGTGATTGCATCATGGCAATAAAAATAAGATTCACAATTAAATTACCTCAGCCTAAAGGGCAAATGTATCATTTCTGAGTATTCTGGGGGGGGTAGTGTGATCACAGAACCCGCTCCAAGTTCATTTGTACAGAATGAATGTGACAAAGTACCTAAAGTCTTGTCCCAAAACAGCTGTGAACGCAGCTTTGAGGCCTGATTAAACTACAATGTACCCTTGGAAGGCTTAGGTGCAGTATTACCTATTTTTCACAACTGTCTGTGTGAAGGTTGCAGTGAGTGAAAAACCACCCCCCCCCCCCTTCACTTTAGAGTGTATGTGCTGCTTCAGTGAATCACATCACTTGTTTGTGGATAAGTAAAGGTTCTGTTTGTCAGCATAGTGTGAAAAGCTAATTGTGAAATGTGTGCGATAAATCAAACCCTCACATAAAACAAATTACCCATCATCTTTGTAGCCTTGGCACTAAATAAATCCAGGTATGTACCCATGTTGCTACAAGCAGAACATTTTCACACTTCAGTTTAGACTTTGTTTTTTTTTTAAAAAAAAAAAAAAAACTGAACACTTCTTTCAGTGGTGCTGTTATGTGATCTTAGCCTAAATGTGCAATTTCAGCTAACAAGTACACGACAGAATTTTTGGCAAAGATCCCATGTGAAATTTTGCTGTTCTTTGTAGCAGATTCCTGCATATCAGGCCATGATTAGAATAAAGTTTTTCTTTCC